TGAAAAAATTAAAAATCACGCCCCGAGGGCTAACTCACCCTTATTATGAATCGCCGGGCGCTCTGTAACTCAGATCCGTTCACCTTTTCCTGGCATTTTCATTATTGCGTGAATGGTGAATTTTTTTTCGAAATTTTCCAGGAGGAAATCTTTAAAAAAATGAAAAAATTAAAAATTTGTCAACGCATTGTTCAAAATATCTTCAGACAACATCAACTCCTTCGACTGGTCCTTGTGGCACCGGGACTGCTGCTAAGAAGTCGCCGACGCTGAATTGGCTAATGTGCAGACCTTCCAGCATTGCGTGTGGCGCCATCCCTCTTATGGGTTACGGTACTATGATGTCGCTGGGGTCAGTCAAACCCCCAGAACTGAACCTCTACTTCAGTCGATCCTCTTTGGCCCTTACTCACGTCAATTCCCTTTGGACATATGCATGTGCCTACACTGAGAAAAAATTCTCTCAAAATTTAGTGTACCTTTTCACCAACGCTGGGACGTAACATGGGGTGTACAAGGAAATAGAGGGAGACACTGGACAAAATGGTATGCCTCACTCAAAAATTCGTATGTGGCACCCTAATTTTTGAGAGGCATGCACTACTTTTTCATGCGTTTCCTCCAGTTTCTCATGTGACCCTTCGGAAAAAATGAGTCAGCAGCATTTCAATTTCTCATTGATGGAGTACACTGATTTTTAGGGAAGGTTCTTACTAATTTTCAATGGAATTTTTTCTCCGTGTAGGGCAATAATCTTTTCTCTCCATTTCTTTTCTTTCTCATTTTTATTACACTATGCAATACACTATTTAACGAATAGATCGTCGAAGCGACATAAACACCACACTTGTTACAGCCATGTTACGTGAATCAATAATGGTTCTTCTTCATCCCAATGCGAAAGACAGAAAGAGAGAGAGAGAGAGAGAGAGTGAGTGATAGAGCAAACGAGTATCTTCGTCAGGAGAGGTGCACGGTGCCATTCTATGTCTGTCAGAGCCACTGAGTGGATCACTTCACTCTATCATCGAATTCAAAATAATAATATCTCCTGTCATCTACCAAACCAAGGAAACTCGACGTAACAGAATTAAAATGGGTATATGAATAATTTATATTTATTCAACTTTCACTACATCTGTGTAAACTAGAATTTTACTCACATTGCGAGAATAAAATTTCTTTGAAAATAACATCCCTATTATGTTTTTCAGTAAGTTTTACCTGGTAGCCCATACAAACTTAAATAAACATGTTTTTGCTTCGCAATTAATTTTCATTGATATTGTTTAGGCCAACGTCAACCCCCGTTCGACGTCTTCATTTTAGCAAAGTTCACAAACCAATTACACAAAATATTCCATATATGTTTCGTGTCTGCCGGCTGCGCCTCTATTGGCTTATCCCATTTACAGACAGAACCAGGCTAGGATATGCTTCAGGGTTAGCTGTGGGCATCAGCACTGCCGTATTTCTCGCTTGGTGGTGGCTGTCCAGAAGTAAAAGAGAACGACCGCCTACCAATTGGCGAAAAGTTGGCGAACTCAGCGATATGTTTGTATTTCCTGTTAAATCGCTTGGTGCAGTCAAGGAGAATGCCATGGAATGCACCCAATTGGGTTTGAAATCAGGGTGGCTACGAGATAGAATTCTAATGGTCATTGATTTGGATGGAAGATTCGTCACCGGAAGACAAATGCCTAATATGGTTCAGGTGATAATTGGATCATTAAATTTACTCTTAAGTTGCAAAGAGAATCAAAATTGGTCTGTCAAAAATTTTATTGTGTCAATCTACAACGAAAAACAAGTAGGATATGCTGTTGTATTCGATATCATATAATTTTTTTTGCTAATGAATTAGCAACTCTCTCCCGAACCGTTATTCGCAATATATAATTGATATAACAATGTACTGATTTTTCGCTTTTTTTCTCATTTTTTATCGAGATTGGGAATTCTACATCCATTCGGAATAATAGTCATTTCCGCGTCTGTTTTAATCTTCAATAAAACATGCACCATCTAAGTATTGTTTTAGGAATTTAGCATAAGTTTTTCTTTTCCTTTTCAATTGATTGTTGCGAATGTTCATCGAAAGAAAGATATCGACAAATTGTAGCCATCACGTAATTTTACGTTATCAATTCAATTGCGGAATAGTGGATTCTTGTCACGTGGTAACAACTATGGCGAATAAAGTCAGGTTTTCATGTTGACGGATAACGATAATTCCCGTTGCTTTTGAATCAACATTCAAGTTCTCATCTTCATACAATTATTATTAGCAAGACTCGAATCAAGAAACTACGAATTCATTGACAAAAATATTGCCTGTTTACCGGTTCATGATTCGTACCAGAACTTTCAACCTCCAAGAAGGCAAATCGAAAGTATTATTCATGTGTGCTTGTACTTATCATTCCGGGTTCACGTCTTCGTCACATAGTATAACAACATTTTGTTTATTTTGGATACGCCATTTATCGTGCTTCTTTTTGATTAGTGTATCAATTCAAATAAATTTGGGTTTTTTATGCCGAAAGGTATTTTCCCATAATTTGTATTTTTCCTTCATGTTGACGATAAGGCCAGCTGCCGTGCCACCTAAAGTATGACCGCTTGCAATATTTATTCTATTCTAGGTAGAGAGATTTACATTGTTATCATTACCATTTATATTGGTAATGATAATTAATTCCCTTCTAAGAGTTCTAGAACTGATTTCTAAAACTAAATGGCTGTATAATATTGTTCACATTACTTTCAAATTTGGATGATATATTGTTGTAGAAGAATTATGCATACCCAATCAAATGAATCAAACATAACGAGTGCGAAGAAACCATCACAAAACTCACTTTCCAGAAAAATGACATAAAATTTTGAATTTGTAATGACGGTAATAGATGTCACATTACTAGATACTGTTGGTATTGTTGGTATCGAAAGTGATGTTAAAAACTTTACATGAAATTCTTTTGAGCATAAAATTCCGAGATATGAAAGAGATTTCAATATTAAAAAAAATAATAATAAATAAACAACTAGTGTCACTTTCATCTTCGAACTCGGTTCAAATGACACTTGAGTGAATTTTTCAAGCTCTCCAGGATTTGATTCAAACCAATTTTTTTTCAATCATAGTCAAAATCCGAAATTTCAAAAAAAAAAATTGAAAAATTGAAAAAAAAAATTATACCTATCGAAACGAATTCGAATTAATGTCGATGGATAGAGCTCGATAGTGACTATATTAAAAAAAAAAAGTTACTTGAGTGCATGCATCAAATCGCGCTCAATTCAAAAAAAATTTTAAAAATTGAAAAAAACGTTTGTCACATACATACACACATACATACATACGTACGGTCAGGGTCTAAAAATTGCATTTTCGAACTTTTTGGACCATAATGGATTAATCCAACACAAAAAAACAAAAACTTATTTCTGCACAATTACAATGCTCCCGTTTCGGGAGCAAAAAACTAATGCAACTGATTCAATTTGTAGATAACGCCCAGTGTAGCTGGTTCTTCATTAACATTACGGGCCTCAGGAATGATGGCAATTAGTGTAGATCTGTCGAAGCTAGGTAAAAGCTTTCGAGTAGCTGTCTGGGGTCAACCGGTACCGGCATGTGATTGCGGTGAGGATATAGCCCGATGGCTGTCCCGATTTCTTCTGCAGGAGGACACTGGTCTAAGGCTTGTCTATTACCCATTTGATGGACCGTATCGGGATGTTAGGATATGCCACCAAGGATTCCCGTTGCTGGAAAATGCAGACGTTGTGAGTGTCTCATCAATTTTCAGTGAGAAATTACTGTAATAATCAGCATTTGAACTGTTTAGGGGGCATATCCGGATGCAACAAGCTACACACTGATGAACGAGACTTCAATAACTGATTTGAATACAAGAATTGAGCATCCTGTGACAGCCCAGCAGTTCCGACCGAATTTTGTGGTTAAAGGCGCTGACCCGCTAGACGAAGACCATTGGGACTGGGTGAAAATAGGATCTGTGATTTTTAGAAATGTCAAGCCTTGCACCCGTTGTATCTTTACAACAATTGATCCTGATACTGGCGTTAAACATCCAAAAGCTGAACCTTTAAAGACTTTGAAAAGGTAGGTAATATATTATTTTAATAGCGAATAAATTCCGACTTCAATTATGGCTACATTTATTAAAAGAACTATTATTATGTTGATATGTAGATATCGGCAAATACAGGATCCAGTCATGAAAAAAATTACCAAAGAATGCCCAGTGATGGGAATTCACTTAGGCCTGAGAGGGCCTAACGGCGTTGTGAGGCTTGGTGACCCCATCTATGTCGGAATGTGCGGAGAAGAAACCAAAGACCCCCTAAAATCACCAACGTAGCTAAGAAAATGGGACTCGTGTGACTGCATTAGTCCCCCTTCTTAGTGATTGATAATGTGCAATATTGATAACTGCAATATTTACAGAGTTTTATCACTCAAGGGCAACATCAATGACATTCTCTAATCTTGCACAAACGTCGCTATGAGAAACTAATACAGTTACTCAGTGCTTATTGATTAGTTAAGTAATTGAACCAGTTTCACTATTCATACGTTCAATTTGCAATAAACTGAATTAATGGGTATTTATGTTGTTTATTTAATGTACATTTTCATAATATAAATTTCAGAAAAAATACTGCCGTAAATTGCGTAAAAATTATACTGCCAGTAAATCTTAATGCGTTCTAGTTGACTGAAGGGGTCATATGAAATGACGACTTCACAGTCTAGAGTAGATTTCAACATTCCAGGAAAAATTTTGGTTTTACTTTCATATTTCATTTTTATTCAGTAGAAATACAGTGCTGTAATGATTTTTCCCTTTCTTCCCTTTCGTATTTTTTGTATCTAATCTTTCGGGTGAAATAACCCGAGAAATCTCTCAAAATATCTCACGGCAAATAAGGAAAGAAAAGAAGATATCACTCAAATCAATAAATTATGAGCGGCTTTGACCCCATTAATAATAATAATCGCTGCTAAGATGAACCATATGAGATGAAAAACGACACTGATGTAATCAGATTGGTTTCGGATATTAAAATTAATGAGACAAATCGCTACCACGAGAATTGTAATTTCACCAATCGGGAGTAATGACAAATACAAAAAAAATATGACCATAATAATTATTTATCGCACAGGTCAACTTTTAGCGACCACTTTTTTCAATAATATTCAAATATAAATTTTAAACACAATATGGATCGAAAAATTGATATTGTCAATAAATGTGGTAATCAATAATAATGCAGACAACCTGCCAATCGGGCAGTCAAATCTCTAGTGGGTCCGCGTCCAGCTCTTGGTATTCAGTTAGGACTAAAAGGACCGAGCGGGATTTTAAAAACAGGTGATCCGGTTTATCTTGGAATACCGTTTATGTAAAATATCTAGTACAGACAATTGTACTAATAATTAAATTGAATCGAAAATTAAATACAATCGAGCCTCAATTTCTTACTCAATATATTTATTTACACTACAATATAACGGGGGATTAAGGTACACAAATTGCTCGCACATTCACAAGTGGCATCATCAACGATTTCCATACATTATAAAAATATTCACCAAAAATAATACAATAAAGCAAAATAGATTTCATCATAAAGAAAAACAGAACAAGCAAATTTTCCAATGAGGAATTAAACAATTGTTGTGACAAGTACATTATGAAGACAGTTGACGCGGTAATCCAAAAAGACCCTTGGGGAATAATATTTACACGTTTTTTTCTCTATTTCCTTTTTGTTCCAACATCAGCAATGTCAATCAAAGAATAGTAAAATTATTACATTTTCGTTGAAATAGCAGTTTATTATCATGCATTCCCGCAGAGTTGACGTGGCCGAGTTTATTCACGCTCGAATAGCTTCGTTAGGAAATCGAATGAGAATGAGAGATTTTTTTAATGGAGAAATCGATGGAACAGCTGAAATAGCTGAAGTAGAATAGGATAGAATACAAATATAAGGAAAAGAAAGAAAAGGGGAAAGATAGGGGAAGATAGAGCAAAAGAAGATGAAATAATTACAACAATATAAAGTGACAGAAGGAATCGAGTGTAAAGTTGAAACGAGTGATAATTAGAAGAAAATAAAAAGGAGAAGAAAACGGGGGAATGCTTCTCACATTGTTTCATCGATTTCGACGTCTCTTTGCTAGGATCCCGGGTACAAGGGACGACTTTTTGTCGTCAAATTCGTCGTACCCACGATTCAATCAATCATCTCCCTCGGCGCATTAGTGTCTCATCATCACCTCAGATGATCGAAGTGATAAGTCGTGCCTTGAAGTTTACTATGCGTTCACTAGTTGCCGCAAGACGCTATAATTTTACAAAGTACATTGACCACATAAAAAAGAATGTTTGTAATTAATATGGTTAGGTGAAATTCCTATATTTATGAATTTTACAAAAAGAACATTTATTAATATTTAACCATTTTTGTGCAATCAACATATATCAACATATTGAGAATTACCCATTTAACGACTTAGTAGTGGAGATGTAGTTTTTTTTTTGCGATTAGTATCGTAGATATGCAAGGCATCTCTAAGTATATAACACAGAGCTCTGTAATTTAATTTCTCAATTATTTGTTGTGAATCGGTAGCCAGATTGCGCTAATGATAAATACAGTGCTGTCGAAGCGTGAACACTTTCCAACAATTCTTATACGCTTGCTCGTGCTCAACGATCTTGCTTGGGTCAACTGAATGCAAACTATCACAAATGTTTTTCACTGGATTTGTACATTACTTTAATTAAAACATGATGATACTTTTTTTTTTCTCAACAAAATAATTGCTTGAATGAAGTATTTTAAATGAAAGGCATTTCTTATGTTATACAATTTACCAGCAAGTGAAATGAGAATGACGTTTCTAACATTTATTCCAACTCCTATTTGCAGGATTTTAGTTTCATTCAAGTCAATTATCTCTAGATATATTTCCCAGGATTGAATATTGAGCCGTCGGCATCTCATGCAGAGCATGTACAACACAACACGGCGGTGGTAGGAGAATTTTGCTTGCGTAAGCCATATCCAGCGTTTAAAAGTTCTCGAACAAACGGGCTGTTTCATAGAGAAAGTGCTTGGACAGCTCGCTACATTTTTACTTTCCATCGATTCGAACCGCTCTCCCTCTCCAATTTAAAAACTATTGCACAATATTCATGTTTATATCTAGAATGGACTTTGGATATACTGTCAACACGGTGACACATTCAGGGTATTCGATAATCAAGGTATTGCACTGGGAATTTCGTCAATTTTTCTCATTATGAAGTCCGGGTTCAATATTATAACATGTGAATGGATTTTTTTTTTCTACTGTACGTATACTTTTACTTTTATTTTCTATATTTTGTTATGAGAGAGGCCCCTGAGGTGTAGAGAATTTTACATCATTTATCAATCTCAGAAATACAGTTTTTTTCTTTGGATGGTATTTATTACGGCGCGAGTGAGTGGTGACTTGACCGAATTAAACGAACAAGATTTGCAACTGTAGCTTGACGGGCTTCTGTTATCCCACAGCTTTGTTGCAAACCGAAGAGTGCGAAATAAGTGCTGAGCAAATATATTTACAGGATAATTGCACATTCTCTAATATCAATTGGGCAATTATTTATTTATCTTTGTTTAATTATTTTATGACGTAACAAACCGAAGGGTAATCTCTTATTATCATCTCGTTATTTAAAAATTTTGCAATAACTATTTTACTTCTATTAATGAAGATCTAAAATGCATTCAATAAACTAGATTGATTTGATGGTCCGATTTATTAAATAGTTAGTGATGCGAATAATTGTACTCACAAGAATGAGATCCTGAATTAAATTGGAGATTCCTCGATTAGCTATAACAAAGAGCCTGGTGACAGGTCCAGGTACTGCCTCTTGTGCAACATCTTGTCTCCCAGCATTTGGATCTACTGCTGTGGCCGATTGCGAGGATTGTGTTGCTGAGCCACTGCCGGCGACAAGCTGTAAAAAAAACCCGCAGATTTTTCTCATCTATTTTTATAAAATCGGTCAACATTGATGTCTACATTTCCAAAAAATAGTGTGTGTCAAGGCAAGACTAGGGGATTTACGGGGAAGAGAAATAGTAGAATTATTTGATAAGACGAACAGAGAGTTGTTTCATCTCTTGGGCAATCTCGTTGCATCCAGTCCCCCTCGATCCTGCGGCAACACAATACTCGCAGGATCCTCTTTCACCGTGCTCTTGCTACCTAATGACAATTACTTGCGTGCTGATACTGATAATTATTTTGTATTGATGAAAAAATGGTAATTTCAACTTCAGTGCTTCATTACTATAACGAAAAACGGAAGTTAATACAGAGGAAAATTTGTGGCAATTCAACGATTAATCAATCCCAAACGACGCTGACATGAGATTTTTTTCAAGATGTCGATTGTGGATCGATGGTCGTCAGGATCTTCGATTGGACGGCGCAATGGATGGGACGCGATTGCAGGATCGAGATTTTTAATTATTAGAGAAAATAAATAGCGAGTGAATTGTTTCTGCCCTCAATTATTAATTAAAATAAAGTCCAAAAGGGAATTTTTTTCTTCTGTTATTTGTTGTTATTAAATAGAATTTGTATTTCTACGATTTTTGTACAGTAGGGAGAGATTTATAAAAATGCAAGGAAAAAAAAACGAAGAAATGGTCAAACAAGGCGCTTAAGGTATAAGAGCTGCGTTCAAAGAATAAGTGAGTCGTATGAGTAGATGCGGTCAGCAATAGTCAGCCATAAAAAATTGACAAGGGGGTGCGAGTGAAAATGCACATGAAGTTTTAATGAGCCATGGTGGTAAAGTAAAAATTTTATAAGTTAGAAAAATTAATATTTCATTGGAATGAAAAGCAAGCAATGGTGGATATAGAGAAAAAGTGATAAATACAGAGAGAAAGAGTAAGTGAGTGAATGAATGAGTTGTGATAATTTGAATTGAGTTTTTCTGTTCATTTCTCTCGTAAGTTTTTGTTTATTGTTGTTGATGATGTCGGAAGGCATGTCGTACCGGTGGTTGGACAGCTGCTGGCGCAGGGGCTGGGGCGGGGGTTGCTGGCACTGGTGGAGGAGCATTAGCAGGAGCAGGTGGCTGCGCGGCGGGGGCGGTTTGGGTTTGAGGCGGAGGGGACGGGCCTAGGTCACGTGAAGCACTCAGACCTAGACCGAGGCTTTGAGTGCCTGCCACCACGCGATATACCGTCCCAGCCGCTCTCGCCGCCCCGTCGGCTGCTTGCTAAGTAGACACACACACGTGTAATTTGTCATTTCATTTTTATTTTGCCATTTTGGTCTATTGAATTGGGGGGGGGGGGGGGGGGG